ATTTATCCTGTATATATTGTTTGTGTGTTGTCTCTTTCATTAGACTGTGAGCTCCTTGAGGGCAGGGCATGGTTTTTTGCCTTTCTTTGCATCCTTAGAACTTAGTACAATGCTTGCCACATAGCAACCACTTAATTAATGCTTGTTGACTTCATTTGACATTGAAGAATATAACATAAATCTTGCTTGGTTGGTCATTGTTTTCCAAATAGACTTCATTGTTCTTGATACCTTTATGTTTTGTAGAAAATTACAAAAATTCCAAATTTCATTTTAATCTCACTTTAAGGAAAATTTGTAGATAAAAATCTCTATTTTTTTTAAAAAAGAGAAATAATGGGATGGTTTTTTTTCCTTGACAAAATAACTTTTGCTTTACAAAAGCATTTGTTATAGGTGGCATCTCAATGTCCTGTGTCAGGAACAGCAAGGCCAGCATCACTAGATCACAGAGTAATGCTTACCAAATTTGTGAATAACATAAATATGAAAATATAGAATCAGCATTCAAAAAAGACTGGAAGCGATGTCTCAGATTCACTAAAATGAAATGTACAAGGAATAAGTGTAAAGTTCTATACTTGGGCTCAAAATGTTAACTTCTTTACGAGCATCTGATAAGGGCGGCAGGGCTATATGATAGAAAAAGACCTGGGAGTTTAGTGGACTACAAGCTCCACTTAAGTCAACAATGTGGTATAGCAGCCAAAAAAGCCAAGCTGACCTTGGGATAAATGAATTGGGACCGACAGTACTATTGTACTCTGCCTTGGACAGATAACATCAGGCGTGTTTTGTTTAGTTCTGTGACTGAATTTTTGAAAGAAAAAAAAATGGAGCTGAGGACAATGATTGGGATAGTGAGGTTCTAGGAATGCTTAGCGTCAAGAAGAGATGTTTTCAAGTCTTCAAGGAGGTGGCAGAGAAGACTCATTAGAATTGTTTTTCAGAGGGCAAAACTAAGTATCAGTGGGGGGAAGTGGCAGAAAGGTAAAGTAGTTTTATGTAGAGTTGTTTCTAACCCTTAGAGCTGTTCCTAAATGGAATGGGCTGTTTCTGGAGGTAATAAGGTGCGTTTTGCTGTAGAACTTTTAACAGAATCCAAATGATCACTTGATGGGGATGTTCAGGTAGATTGGATTACATGGCCTCTGAGGTCCCTTCTAATCTCAACAGCCTGGAATGAATTTGATTATTCTGTATTGCCTTCTTTCAACTTATTTTAGTTCATGACTTAATTCTGAAATTGGGTGGCTAGATTGAACTCACTGCTTAGTAAACTATTTGAGAATTCTAATTGGGGTTTGGATATTCTCTAAGAAGCAGGGTCAGAGGTTTTTAGATTTCAGGTCACCTGACACCTTCCCCTTGGTCCCAAACTTCTCATAAAATTCCTAAAACCCATAAGGTAGGATTTGACAGCAAATGGTACAAATTTTTTGAGGAATACATTTATTTCCTCAAGCATGTGAAGGGAGACTGCAGGATATGTCAGGAAGATTGCCACATCTGGAGTCAGAACACCTGGGTGGGCATCTCGGCTCAACTGTTGGTTAACTTTTCCCTCATCTGTAAAATGGAGGGATCTGCTATTCCACACAGAGCTAAAGGATGTAAAGCACTTTGTAAACCTCAATATGCTGTATAAATATCAGCTACTATTATTGCCTGTGACTAACAAGAAATGCAATTGTCTGCTCGGATTTCTCAAGGAAAGTTAAGTGAGCATCCTGTAGTTCTTGAAAGAGAAACTATCAGCTTACCTAGATAACTCAAAAGTAAGGACCAGCTAAAGGTATTCTTGGTTATTCTTTTCCCATCTTTACCTGGAGACCAAGAGAAGAGGCTAGTATTATTCTATGTTTGTCTACAAGAGAAAATCTAGCCTTATATCTTGAGAGGTAATAAGTTAGTTTTCACTGAAGTCTTCATGTGGAGACTAGATACTTGACTACTAGATACTAGATACATTTGACAGAGATGTCATGTTATAGTAACAATTGTTATAGCTACCATTAATATAGTACTTTAAGATTTGCAAAGTGCTTTACAAATATTGTTTCATTTTATCCTACTATTATTGAATTGTATCTTACTATGCTATTATCCCTATTTTATAGATGAGGAAACCGAGGTAGATAAGGTTAAGTAACTTGCCCAGGGTCACACAGTTAGTGTTTGAGGCCAGATTTGAACTCGAGACTTCCTGACTTCAGGTCCAGCGTTCTATGCAATGTTGCAGAGAATTCCTGAACGGGTCTGATTTGGACTAGACGATCACTGATGTTCCTTTTAACTCTTAAATGTCTAAATTTCTCTTACCTCAAGCTTGGCTCCCTATTAACTCTAATATCACTTATAAACCTTTATTCTGGAAATTTCACGCTTTTCATAACCAGGCCCCAATCTCCAACCTAACATTTCCTATCTTGTACATGACTTTCCTTCATGCCTCCAAGCCAGTCAAACTGGCTTTTTAAAAAATAGTTCCTGCCATCTAGCAGCTCATTCTTTCCCTTTTTTTATATTAATTTATTTAGTTTTAGTTTCCAACATTCACTTCCGTAAGGTTCTGAGTTCCAAATTTTCTCCCCCTTCCTCCCCTGCCCTCACCCCAGACAAGAACCTGATATAGGTTCTACCAAATTGGCCTTCTTATTGTTCCTTATACCCTGGGACATTCATTCTCCTCTCCATGGCGATGTTGCTGAGTGAAGATTTAGCCTTTGCTGTAACTCTAGCTCCAATCAGACCCAGACCTCTTATATACTTGAAGTATTACTCATGCTTTTACTCACTTTTTTGGGAACATGGTGACTGAAATCCTCTCCCTTCTTTTTGCTGTCTATCCAAATTCTAAAAGGGCCTCAAGTTCTGATCCTAATCTTGCTTCCTTCAAGAAGACTTCTCTAATTCTTTGTGGCCTAAGTTGAAATCTTCCATCTCTGTGTTAGGGGCTTCTGTTCCACTAGTTGACCTGGAGGAAGGGGAATGCTTCAGGCCTGGTACATTCCCATAAATCCACTGAATATGTCAATATTTTTTGCTTTCCTCTTTTCTCCTTCAACCCCCACGATTACTCTCTTCATGGTAATCTTGTAGTGAATCTTAGGTGTGATGTGAAGTTATAGAAGCACGTTAAGTGATTTGTGGAAAACAGCTAATGTCTTCTACCAAAGGGATCTTCTTGTCATCTTTTCTATCACAAGAGTGAGGATTGTACACTGGACCTGTATAGCTGACATTCAAACTATACTCTCATGCTTCTGTGTGTGCAGCTAGACAGAGGCAGTAGTTAGTCTATCTGGAAAGAACTCTGGACCTGGAATCAGGAAGAGATGGATTCAAATTCCACTTTTGACAATTACTGTTGTGTTACCACAGCCAAGTCACTTCATCTTTCTGATCCGCAGTTTCCTCACCAGAGACTTGGGATAATAATACTATAGTACTTGCCTTACAGGGTTCTGGTAATGATTAACTAAGATCATATCCATAAACTACTTTGTGGACCTTAAAACCTAACAGAAAGGTTTGTGTTGGATAAAGGAAAATTCAAATTGGTATTATGAATTAAACTAATTTTTAAAAATCTGCTAGAGCTCAGACAAATGACTATTGTCCTTCAAAGTAGTTGACTTTAAGAGAACATTCATTATTCCAGCAACACAGCCATTTCTGAAAACACATCTAGAATTCTTTGGGAACAGCCTTCAGCATCAGTCTACAAATGACCCAAGAAAATCACTCTCGTTACTTTATAGCCTTGTGGAAGCTATTAATCAGCTTGAAGAACTGCAAATGGCTTTTGGCCAGGGGCAATTATAAAGTTACCCTCAAAGAATGAAGATTCACTATCACTTAAGTCAACTCTTAACAATGGTTCTTCGTCTCTCTTTTTTTTTTTATCATGATTCCTTTGATAGTCTGGTGAAGTCTTTCTCAGAATAATGTTTCTAAGTGCACAAAATAAAATACACAGAATACAGTGGAAACCAATTAGGTTGAAATACAGTTGTCAAAATATGAAACAAAACCCAAATTCATGGACTCCCTTCTCTTCCTGGAAAATATTTATGACCCCTGATATAGAAGAGTGTGCAACAGAAAGTGTGCTAGTGTGAAAACACTGGGTTTGGAGTCAGAGGACACAGGTTTGCTTTCTGGTTCTGTTTCTTTACTGCCTATATTGTGTTGGTCAAGGGATTTCATTTCACATGGCTTCTCATTTTCTCATCTGTAAAATGAAAAAAGCTGAACTATATCTCTAAGTTGCTTTCTAGTTTTAGATCCTTTGAGGCTTTTAGAGTAACTTCAAAGAAGGCATTCTAGAACAGTACTGAGCAATAGCTGAAAGCATCATTGGGAAAGCAAATTGCCTCTCAAATAGACAACTGTCATTTGGTTCTGTAAGTCCCAGTATGGCTAAAAAAATTATCTGCCTTGTTACCACAGAGTTACACCATGGATGATGACTCAGTGAAGCTCATCACAAGATGGGCCATCCTCATGTCAGTATCACATCCTGATAGCTATCTATGGCGGGGAGGTCCATTATCTGCTTTGCAGGACCATTTTCAAAGCTCTTGTGATGGCCTCAGGGACTGCCTATGAGCCAAAATGTGCATCTGATGGGGCAGGAAGGCATTCATTGAATTTATCTGTGATAGAATAGAAGAAAAATTATACTATAGAAGAATACACTATACACTATAGAAGAATTTCAAAACAGGTACAAAATGATATTCTTCTATTTTTTGCATTGGACCTTCCTTTCTTGTATTCACAGTTCAACAGAAAATTATTAACATAATCACCATCAGGGATAAGTTGGAAATACATGCTTCCTCCTCCCCCCTCCTCCCACCCCTTCATAATTCTGTATACAGATTTGCCAAAAAGATATCTCAGGATCTGAATGGTCTTGGATCTCACCACTGTTGAAGAAGATCTTAACAATGACCACCCAAACTATTATTAAAAAAAAGTATAAGAAAGCATCTAAAACCATACTGCATATTTCAGATCTGACCAGACATTTTTCACAGTACTGCTCTTTCTTAAACAGCATATGCACTTTCTTTTATTGATACCTATACATTTTAAATACATCTAATTTTGGCTCATAATGAGTAAAAAATAATTTTTTAAAATGAACAAAACATATGAACAAAAGCATCACAATTTACATCAACGAAGAAAATTTAGAATTATTTTGAACTGTTGACCCTTTTTTATTGCTGAAATTGATGGATGAAGAACTGTAGGACATGTTGCCTCTTCGGTTGTTGATGTCTGTTTCATCACTTATTTTATATTTTATAGATTTATGGTTGTAACCCAAACTTGAAAACCAAACCAATCCAAATCAGAAAAGTTACAAAACCCCTCCTCACAAATAAAACAACTTTGTGCCAAGTAGAAGAGTTTCTAGAAGTATAAGAGATTATAATTTGCAATTGTTCTGACTTTTAACTCAGAGAAAACTGGCATCTATTTGTAGTGTGCCCTGGAGATCAGAAAGAGTCTGGACAGGAATTCAGTGATAGTAAATAATAATGAAAATAACTGAGGATGGGTTGTGTTTCTAATCATCTTGACTCCTCCTAAAAGAGTAGGACAGTTCTACACTTTTAAATGCTATTTTTGCCAATGGAAAAAGAGGAAAATACAGTGTGAGATAAATAAAGATCCTGGTTTTTAAGGGTATAAGCTATGGGAGGGGGTAGGTATGTGAAATGGTAATTTTGATTTGTGAAAGACAGGTCAACAAGTTATTCTTAATCCTCTTAATGCCTATATGCATTTTAAGTGCAATGTGAGAGCATGTGGAACCTCTCCACTCCCAAATGGGAACACAGCTAGGTACACTTCTCTCACATGGGTGTACCCCAAACATCACACAGGCATATCATCACATAAAACAAAAGGAAGCACAGAGCAGAAAAGTGTAAAACCATGCAGAATTCTACTTTCACCAATGAGAAGAAAACTCCTGATACAGAATGTGGGCACATATCAAACATAATTTAATTACATGTTGACATTTTATGAAATCTACAATAGTTGAAAGAGGAAGAATGGTGTTACAATATAAAATCACAGCAAAAGGATGTGTAAATATAAGTTTATACTGGCTATAAAAGGCAAGAAGAAAGTAGGATAAGAGTTTCAGAAAAACACTCCTTCAGGAGCGGCTATATACAGTGCTGGGTAGAGTTGTTTGGAATGTCACTGGTTAAAACAAATTGCATAAATTAGACTTCACTCTTTTTATGAGATGGATGAAAAAGTATGAAAGTACATTGCCCTGAACTTCTGTTCTCTGTAAGCATTTACTTTCAATAAGGTCTATCCTCTTTTTTTTTTAAAGTTCCATATAGAATTTTAACTTCCATTTGTCAAAATCTTCCATTTGTCAAATGGATAAAAAAGAGAAGAAGTGGTGAAATAAAAAGATAGGACAGGTTTTGCCTATTCTTTCCTCAGCTTTGAAGTATCCTCTGCAGTACATGTCAAATTTCCATTTTATTTATTTCCAGTGTTTAAATGTCAATCCTGTCTCAGAAAATATGAAAATTTGGGGGCGGGGGCAAAGAAACACCTTGCCTGTACTAATTCATGGGTGTATCAGTAAGACCCAACTATCCATAAATAGGAATAGTTGTAGGAATGCTAAAGGAATCCCATATTTAAAGAATCATTACAAACCCAGCACATCTCAGATCAGATCAGTCATACCATACTTTGAGAACATGGCCTATTGTTGGTATCTGACAAAGGCTGACTATTGAGGTGGAGTGGGGGAATTCAAAACCTTTCAAAACCTTGGAGAAAAGAATAGTGATGATCCTTTCTCATCCCCCCTGAATACTCTGGAAATAGCCAAGAACTCTATTAATGTGGAGCAGAGATGTAAATATATTAACATTTTTGCCCTTCTGTGCCTCAGTGTTAGTGGAGAACTGTTCATTGTTTCTCCAGATGCATACTTAAAAAAGAAAACATTTTTCCTAAAACAATGATACAAATTCACGTGGAAATAGTCATCTGACTGCTGTAAAGAAAGCCTTTACTTCTTGTCTTTACAAAGTAAATATTTTAAAAAATCATCTCACTATTATGGGATGTACTTCTGGGATATACTCATTAGATCATAGTGATACTGACATCTTTGTTAACACCTCTCTTGTATGCCCCTTATGTGATATAAAGAACACATATTCCCATTTCAGCCATATGACATAGTTAGCATTGTTATTTCCTAGTAACTTCTGATGCCTGAAATAGTGCAAAAGAATAATAAATCACATTTACTCATGGACAAACTCGTAGGACCATATTCTAGTGGAATGGATTTTCCAGTCACAAGGATTTAAGACAGAGAAAGGGATGGGGTGGGATGGTTCATATACATGTCTGTTTATTAAAGAACTGGATTAAATTTTAAAGAAGATATTTATGGTAAGAGATGTCAATTAAAGAAGTTTGGCATGAAATTTTGGCCTTCAAGAAAATAAATATTTAGAGAGGCAGTGTGGTGTAATGGATAGAGAATGGCTCTGTCATCAGGAAGATGTGGTTTTGAGTCTCATCTCTGACACATACTGTCCGTGTAATCCTGAAAAAATAACTTAATTTCTCAGTGCCCCAGGCAGCTCTTTAAGACTCTAAATTGTGGAGAAGGTGTCCATCTGCAATGGCAAAAGTCAATCCTCATCAGCAAAAATACCAATGCAGTGTCAGGTAGAGTAAAATATTTCAAAGGGACCTGAATTTCTCTGTAGGGGGTAGGGTTTGCAAAAAATGATTGGAGGTCATGTATGGGAACCAGTAGCTTAAAATAAAACCTCTAGTGCTTGTAAAGAAATTCCATGTGAACAAATGGAGAAGAATGTTTAAATGTGACTATGCACCAGGAATATTTGGCCCCATATGACTGGAAAAAGTTTCGGCAATATCCTTGAAGGTTCTAGAGGCATTGTGAAAAGGTCCTCGAAATCAAACAGACCATATAAAAAAGATTCTCCTAATTAAGCATCTCTTCATTGTCAGCTTAGGTTTTTCTCCTGGAATTACCTTTTCTAAACAAACTGGATATTTTCCTATACAGATAATGATTCCAAATAACATTTTCTTTAAAACACACACACACACACTCCCACACAGCAAGAAGGAAACATATCAGTCCTTGGAAACAAGAGTTCTGGGGCCTCATAATCCTTCTATCCCAGATGAGTCCCAAAGGGTACCTCTGATTCTGTCCTAATCTTTTCAACATCATTTTACTCCTATTTCTCTTTAAGATAGCCACACATCTTCTTGTGTACAGACTATTCACGGAAAGTCACAGAATCCACCTGATGTGAGAATCTGAGTCTTAGCAAAGGGTCACAAGTAGACGTGGACTCTTCCAACCCTTGGCCTTTTTTGTATGGGTTTTCTATGAAATTAGCTTTTGGGGGAAGGAACGCTTACAAGAAGCAAAAGATGAAGGGGGAGAGTCTGATCTAGTAGTCTACAAAGCTCCTAGTTACATTAACTAATAATTTTTTATGCTCTAAAATTCAACTCTGCAACTAACAATAAAAATCTCATTGCTCTCTTAAAAAAAAAAAAGAAAGAAAAAATGAGTTGCAATTGTACAACCATCCAATACATGCTCCAGAAAGGAAGAAAACAGGCATCTGATTCCTTTTTCTCCTGATACCTTTTTTAGTTTGTTTTTTGTTTCACGTGTGTGTGGATGTTCATGCAACTCTAGGCATAGACCACTCAAGGTTATATTAGCAAAGAAGGGAGTTTTAACTCATGTGGTAACGGTGCTCCCCTCGTGTTATGTGAGAGGAGAATTCATACCTGTCCTGACTGTGATAGCCACACATGTTGCATTCAAAAGGATCACGGAAGCCATGGCAACCCATGTGGATCGTATACATCACATGGTCCAAAAAGAGGACCCTGCAGTGTTCACATTTATACACCTTCAATGGCTCCCCACTGCTGCTGATCACTTTGAAAGCGTCTTGGGAATTGTCAGTTGCTGCCCTCAGGACGTCATAGGGCCTATGCTCTTCTTTTATGGACAAACCATTTCTGGCATGTTGGTTTATGTGGTTTGTCAGGTAAATGAGGCCACTCCGTTCCTCGTTATTACTCTCTGTGTCTGTGGAGTCTTGGCAGCTGTTGCTTGGGGAGGCATCCCTTTCGGAGGAGATGGATTTAGCCTTAGAAAGGAGCAATAGATTTTCCACGGCACTGTCCTGGGCTGTGTGGTTAGGGCGTGGGTGGCCATCTGCATGGGGCTTGTGGAGCTGGTACATGGAGCTGATGACCGGTACAACCTCGGAGCCCGGGGGCGTCTGCACCAGTGGGCGCAATGATTCGGCCCCTAGGTAGCTAATGGCATTGTTGATGGCCTGATCCATGACATGGGTCTGCATCATTTCATTCTCCTTCTCATAATTGGTGCTGGCATCATATGGGAGATCTGACAAACATTTCTCACCTGGCAATTAAAATAAGCAGTAGTCAGTTAAGACCTGAATTTCTCAAGCATTTACTTATTTCTTACTGAGAACCAAGATTAGTCAGTTAACAATTTATCTTTATGTGTCAGGCACATTGATTATATGAAATAATCAATAGGAAAATAATTTTAATTGTTTAAACAATCATTAATTAATGATTTAATTAAATAATTTTGGCATATTTGGAAAATATTCTGGGGAAATAATAAAAAAGGCAGGCATACAACACAAATTACTTTACATGTAGCATAATAAAAATAATCAAATGAGATAGTGTGTGCAAAGCTTTTTTTAAAGTGACATAAAATTTTAGCATCGTGTAATGGATAGCCAGACCCAAAGACAGGATGACTTGGGTTCGAGTCCTGCCTCTGACACATACTGGCTGTGCAACCCTGGACAAATCCCTTCACCTCTCAAAGCTGTAGGTGACTCTCAAAAAGACTTTCATTGGTCAAACTGAGATTCCTTACACCATATAAGGAGTTCCTTATACTAATGAAATCACAGGTCTGGTTCCCATCCATCATAATCATCATTACATTTGGTATATCTATTGAAGGGATTAGCTGAGGATTTATTCTATCAGTCAAGGATATTATATTGAATTTCAATGATAATCGTCTCTCTACAATCTTGGACAAAGAATATATCTCTGACAATCCCCTGGCAAAATGAACAAGTTTTGCTCTTGAGATGTTAACATTTGCAGTAGTGATGGTTTGAGTATGACCTTGCGAATGATGAACACCATTGTGGTTATGACACTGACTTAATGAATGGTTGAGTGCAACTCATCTACCATGTTTGTCTTAGCTTCCTCATCCTAACAGAGAAAAGACAATGACTCACTTTAGAGCACTGTGTCATGGTTTAACTCATGTGTGATAGTCAAGAGCTTTAAAGACAATTACTATCACAATTATAACAAGGATGGTGTCCTTTTAATTAGAATTGCCTCTTTCTTCTAATTCTCTTCCCCATCCCACCTTTTAGCCAACTAGATTTCTAATCTCCTTTCAGAGAGATGATGATAATTACAACAACAACAAAAAACTCTCTTTTAAGGGCCTACTATTTATAAGATCTTCTGCTAGGCAACATGGTCCAGTGGAAAGGGCACCAGATTTGAAGTCAGAGCCTGAGTTCAAATCCTGGCTCTGCTACTTATTAACCTACATGACCTTGGGGAAAGTCATATCACTTCTCTTGACTTCAGTTTCCTCTGTAAAATGGAAAGAGCTGGGCTCTGAAGTCTCACCAAGCTCTAAATCTATGATCCTATGATCCACAGCTATTGGGAATACAAAGGGGGAAACTCTCCAGTTCCTTACCTTAAGGAACTTTTAGATTGAAAAGGGAGGTATGACATGTAGAAAATTAAGGATGATACGAGTTTGATTTCCATGAAGTAAAAGAAATAAAACAGTGGAATATAAACTTCTTGAGGTCAGGGTCTGTCTTGTTTTTGTCTATCTCCAATGCATAGCACAGTGCCTGATATATAGCAGATGCTTAATACATGTTTGTTGAATGATATAGGGAACAGTATAGGAAAATGAGAGAGAGAGAGAGAGAGAGAGAGAGAGAGATTACTTTCAACCAGGAGGGATCTGGAAAGGCAAAGCCTAAGAGTTGAGCCTTGAAAGAAGAACATAACTACCTATGACAGCATTCTATACCCATTACCGAATGTAGTAACACACATAGTAGGTGCTTTAACAAATGTTTGTTGAATTGAATAACAGTGGAAAACAGAGAACCATTTAAATAAGTATGTAGTTGAAGGTAGAAACAAAACCAAGGGAATTACAGGGAGGAAGAAAGGGCAACAGTTTGAAAGAGTAGGAAGAGATCTGTCAGAGAAATATCAATTGTTTAATCCTAATTTTGTTTTTACAAGCTAGTTTTCCAATTCTTTAGATATTTCTCTATGGAAGAAGCAAAACCAATTTCCTTTGTTATATGTTATTATGTTATATGTCACAGGTATGGCAGAGCTTAAGACCAAATGGTAGCTAATGTCTGTAACATGGAAGTGGTACAGTCATTAATTAGGGCCCTATTTTACTTCAATTCGAAAAGCTAATTATTTATTTGTTTTAAGTGAGGTGTTCTGTCTTCAATAAAGCCATTAGTTTTCATTAATAAACAAAAGTGTTTGAATTTCTACAAATATGATTTAATGTTGCTTCTCTTATATTTCACAAGGGCCTCATTCTTTCCTGTATGACAATGATATCTGTCATCATTGTATTAATTTTTGGAGTAAGGAGATTATATATATGTACATATACACACATATATGCATGCTTATAAACATATGCAGGTATATATGTCTATATAAAATATAAGTATATATGTAAATATAAAAACAGAATCATGCTTCATGAATTTGCTAATTGAACTTCTCGGTTGTGGTCATTAGCCACTGGTAACATGTATACACTGTCTCTCAAACTCTCAAAAAATGTCCCATAAAGACTGCCATATTCCATCCTCCTTTCTTTTCTGTAATTGCATATTCAGCCTTGAGTTTGCATTCATTTTAATCCAATTGTAGTCATTCACATGGGATAATGGGGTTCATTTAGCAGTTACCTGCTTTATGATTATGCACCCTTATCTACTGAACCAAAGATCTTTAGAATCTAACAGGGAGAAAAGTTTCAATAACTCATCATTCATACAGATAAAGTTAATCAAGTCTAAAGACTTCTATAAACTAAGTGACAGATATCCATCTTACAAACAGAAAATGGGTGGTGCTTCTGTTCACATAAGCTTAAAGTAAACACTGAATACTATTTCTGAATCTATACATGGAGTTGTCACTGTTCTCTCATCAGGTTTTTGAAATGATAATGAACATACTATATTGGTAAGGCTCACATATTCTACCAGCCACTTGCTATAACTGAATGCATTTTAACTCAGAACTAGGAGCTCAGAATTCAGAATTCTTAGAACAAGGAGTAATGAATGAAAGTTGCAGAGGAAAATTTTGGCTCAATGGAAAGAAAAACTTCCTAATTAGTGCTCAGAATTCAGAATTCTTAGAACAAGGAATAATGAATGAAAGTTGCAGAGGAAAATTTTGGTTCATGGAAAGAAAAACTTCCTAATTAGTGATCCAAAAACTTGCCTTGGGAAGAGGTGGCTTTTCTGTCATTGAAAGGGAATGCTTACTTCATTGACTCCTTTTCCCTATTTATTCTCATGATCATTGCTTTTTTTTTGGAATTCCTGCAAATTTCAAGGAATATATCTTTTTTTTTTTTTGACAATGATAGATCTAAATCTGAAGGCAATATTCCAAGCATAAACTTATCAGAGAAGGGTGTCGAGGAGTTTTATGTAATGATGCCTTTAGGTGTGAAGATCTAAAGAATGCCGGGCATTTCTGCCCCCGTCCTATGTAGCAAAATCACAGCATGCACATTACTGAAATAGATGCTGGTTTTAATGACTAAATGCACTTGGATTTTCGTTGCAGAGCTTAAGCTGAAGAAGTAAAAGCATCTCTTTTCAACTGGATTTCTGAATGTTATTTAGAGAGCACTGGACTTACAGCCAGAGCACAGAAGGTTGAGTGCCAGGTTCATTATTTGTTAGCTTTGTTAACACTCGGCACATCACTGAAAACCTCAGCCTCACTGTCTTCATCTGTCAAGTGGAATCAGATCACTTTTAATACTCACTTCAAAGGGTGAGAGTCAAATGCTAAAAGTACATGTAACTGTAAAGTTCTGTATGATTGTTATTGATTTCATTCACAAAGCTTAGCACTAGCCATTTACATTCTCTGACCCAGCAGGCCTTGCTCAAAATTCTACCTACAGGAGGCCTGGCAACAACATAGATGGAAGGCACACAAAATTGAGACAAAACAGATGCTGGTTTTTTTTTTCAACTGTCCATCTGTCAATAAACATTTGTTAAGCACCAACTAACGTCTACAAACAAGCCTTAAAGGAGGAGGAAATATTCAGCTTACCTTTTTTTTTTTTTTAAAGTTTCCTCCTTCTTTTACCCCCTAGCACAAAGCAAGTTTGAAAGCACCCATTAGCATGTTTGGTTTTTAAGAGACATCAAACGTTGAACTCTTACCCACAAATTTCTGAGGCATAGAGCTCTTACGTTTGGCGACGTTACTTGCTAGTCTATCCAGCACGAGGGATCTCTCAGATCCGATCTTGCACAAATCTTCAGCCATTTCACTATGGTTGGTTTCTTCTTTAATGACTAAAGCCAAGGGAAATCAGAATGATCAGCAATACAGATCTCAGTAAGGTTAAGGGCCCGTTCTGCTAAGACAACTGAGTAAAGTTGGAATAACTCAAGAGAAGCCCCTCGTTGACTTTCAATGCTCATAATGGTAGTGGCCAACTCTTAGAAACCTATTTCATTTTTTATTATTTATTTTCATTATTTTCATTTCTATTTTAATTATTTATTTAAGTGGACTATTTCAAAGTCCACTTAACTTTTCACAGGGGTTTCACATTAGATCCTCACAATAACCCTGTAATTTAGACGGAGCAGGAATTATAATTTATATGTAACAGATGGGAGGTACTCGGGCTCAGAGAGTTAACACATCCAATGTTATCCAAAATGCTACTCATAGAGAAGCAACTAGAACTCAGGCCTCCTGAATCCTAGATCGATGTATTTCCTAATATACCTCACTGCCTCCCATGTGCTAATTACACATGCTAGTGCTAATGATAGGAATCCAAGTACAAAGAAACATGTAGTTGCTTTGCAAATGAAGCATCAAATGTTCCTATATGTTCCAACTGCAAAAGGTTCAGGGTAGTGCACAGAGGGTTTTCTATTGAGTCTTGCCTAGTATGATCGAAAGGAACTCCATTTTCATCAGGAAATCTCAATAAGCACACTGGGTTAGTGATGGCCTTTTAGTAAAGGAGAGGCCATTCAGAGATGATAGTACTTTCTAATTTTTCAGAGTATTGCCATGAAAACTAAATTCAATTTTAATTAGTTCAATGGGTTATTATTTACTTCAGTATTGACCTCCTCCTGTTATAGGAATTTGTGGTTTTCCTCCAGTATTCCAAAAATAGAAAAGAGGTGGTTGATCAACTATGAGCAGTAAGAGGAAGTATTTAAAAATAGAGCTCCTTAACCTGGGGTCCACAGGTGTGTGTGGATAGATTTCGGGGGATCTGTGAACTTGGCTGGGAAAAAGTACACCTTTATTTTAATTCGATTGGTTTCCTTTTTAATTCTATACATTTTATTTTATGCGTTTAATAATGGTGATGATAGCTAGATAACATTTATATAGTGCAAAGTGTTTTTACAAATATTATCTCATTTTATCTTCACAACAATCAAGGAAAGTAAGATGGATTATTATCCTCATTTTACAGATGAGGAAACTGAGGTAAGCAGAAGTTAAGTGACTTGCCCAGGATCACAAAGCTAGTAAGTGTCCGAGGCTGGATTTAAACTCAGGTCTTCCTGATTGTAGGCCCAGTGCTCTATCCACTGTGTCACTTAGCTCCCTTTAAACAACAATATTTAAGAGCACGGAAGGATTCCATAGACTTTACCAGACTGCCAAAGAAGTCTGTGACATAAAAAAAATTAAGAACCTCTGGCTTAAAGTATGCTCATAGAGTATCCTCGATAAATATAGTAATCCTGTAAACTGACTAACTTAAGGACATTATCCAACACTGAAGAAAATGAAGAAAGGTGGTCTAATTATTATCATCTGCCCTCCAGTGGAGCCACTGTTGCGGCTCTTCCATAAAATTTCAAGTGCTTATGTGATGTAACTGAATAAATTATAATATATAATATAATATTAACACATAATATAATAATACATAGTATGAATTACATTAAATTGTATAACCATAAAGCGATAAGAGATCTTGGAGATGACATAGTACATTTTAAAAGTGGGGGAAACAGAGTCAGTACAATTTAGGGAAAGGAACTCTTAGATTTGGATTTCAAAAGACTTAATGAACTCAAATTCTGTCTATTCTACTTTTACCAGTAACCATATGAATGAGCCATGAGACCTTTCCTGGCTCTTTCTCTGCCCTCCCCAGTTGCTAGTACTATCTCCTCCTCAAATTATCTTGTATTAATTTTGTACATGTGAGCATGTTTTCTCCCATATTAGAATGGAAGCCCCTTGGAGAAATGGACTCTCACTTGGGTCTTTGTATTCCCAGAATTTAGCATTAGTGCTTGGCACATAATAACTACTTAATAAATGCTTGTTTGTTAATTGATTGACTTAATCTCTCTGGTTAAGAGAATTGACTTAGATGATCCTGAAGAGTCTCTTAAAACTCTAGATGCTATGATCAAATCATCAAGTACAGGTCAGACTAATCTTATGTCTATTTTGACAGAGCTACTAGACTGGCAGATAAGAAGAATGTTAACAAAGCATTTGACGATGTCTTGTGATTTCCTTATGGACAATTGGACAGATACAGAGGAGATAACAGAATTATGTAGATTTGGAGAGGATTCTCATGGGGACTTGGATCTGTGTTGGTTAACGTTTTTATCAACAACTGGCATGTTGGGATAAGCAACCTGCTTATCAAGTTTGAAGTTTACTCTAAGTTGGGAGGAGCCAAAAGATTCTTACAGGTTAGAATGATGGGTAATTCAAGAAGACAGAATTTAATAGGGATAAATGTAAAGTTCTTCACTGGGGCTCAAAAAATCAAAACCAACTGCATAAGTAGAGGTTGGGGGAGGAATGCCTAGGCTAGTGGTTCTCAAACATTTCTGGTGTCAAGATCCACTATTTTTCTTTTGGTGAGACTATCAGAGTTAAGTGACTTGCCCAGGGTCACACAGCTAGCAAGTGTCTGGATTTGAACTTAGGTCTTCCTGACCCCAGGGCCACTGCTCTAGCCACCTAGCTGCCCCGAGATCTGCTCTTAAAAATTGTTGAGGACTCCTCCCAAAGAATTTTGGTTCATATGGATTATATCAATAAGCAGCATCTTATTCTTATAAAAATAGTTTTGACCTCATGGACTCCCTAAAAGGGATCCCTAGGCCACACTTTGAGAACTGCTGGTTTGTGTATGAGACCTGAGTTTTTTAGTGTATCTATATGCTCAATAATGGTTGAGGGTGATAGGGTGATTAAAATAAAAGTGAATGCCACCTTAAGCTGCACTGCAGCATCACATACAGAGGAGGGACACAAGGTAGAGGGCATTAAGACAAGAGGAAGACTGGAAACCATCCTTTACAAGGATCATTTGAAGTAACTGAGGAAGCTTACATAGAAGATAAGACTTAGGAAGGACATGATAGCTTTTCTCAAGTTTTTGAAAGCAGCAGCAGAAGAATTAAGATTTGTTCTGACTCGTCCCCAAAAAGCAGAACTAAGATCATTGGGGGAAAGCTATCTTAACAATTAGAACCAGCCCAAAGTAGAAGAGGCTACCTCAGGAGGTAGGGTGTTCTCCTTTAATGGAAGTCTAAGTGGAGGCAGAATGTTGGTGGCAATGTCACAGAGGCGATTTCTGAACGGGAATAGATTAGATTGGATGGCCTCTGATGACCTTTCAACTCTGTGATTCTTTTTTTTTTCTTTTTTAGGTAATTGGGGTTGACTGACTTGCTCAGGGTCACACAGCTAGTAAGCATCAAGTGTTTGGTGTGAGGCTGGATTTGAACTTGGGTCCTCCTGACTTCAGGGCTGGTGGGTGCTTTACCCACTGCACCATCTAGCTGCCCCTCAACTCTGTGATTCTTTAAGTGACCACTCAAGACCACATAGCTAGTCAGTGGTTTAAGCTACTTTTGACATAATTATGCTGTTTATTAGCACAGTTCAAAGTTCATATCAAATGACAACTTTCACCTAGATCCCAGTGAGCTAAATTTTTCTGGTGTTCATGAATGAATTCTGTACCATTTCTCTTGTCATGCTTTAATAAAGCTAGCATTTATAGAGTGCTTTATGGTTTGCCAAGCACGTTAGAAAAAGTATCTCCTTTGATCTTCACAAGTAGGTGCTTTTATTATCCCACTTTATAGTGGAGGAAACTGAGGGAACAGAGGTTAAGTGACTTGCCCAAGGTCGCACAGATAGTAACTGTCTGAGGCTAAACTTGAACTCAGTTATTTCTAACTCCAAGGCAAGTGCTGTATCCAATGTCCCAGGTAGCTGCCTCTTTTTTCCTGCTAAGTGAAGAACTAAGAGTAACTTTGAAGCAAATGAGGGAGCTAATATGCCTGAGTTGGGTGATTTGGGCCAGAAGTGACTGAAGGAAAATACGAGGGTAAATGACTTAATGCTCCAAGCCCATGAATTCAGGAGTAATGATGATGATGATGATGGCACTTAATATGTGCCAAGCACTCTGCTAAGCACTTTACAACGATTATCTCACTTGGTCCTCAAAACGACCCTGGGAGCTGGGTGCTATTTTTACCCTCATTGTATATACAAATAAATTGAGGCAAACAGAGGTTAAGTGTCCTGCCCAGGTTGTCTGAGGCCGAATTTGAACTCAATTATGGAGGGTCTACTACACATCTAGCCCTGTAGTTGGTATTATAAAGGATATCAGAGTGGTCTATGAGAAGGTCTCTGCCTTCAAAAACTTTTTAGAGTGTCTTTAAGGAATCAATTGAACATCAGGAGTATATAATTCAGGGCTAAACTGAATAGAGCCAAGAGCCAGAATATATGGTACTGAAAGTAAGCTCCATTTATTTTGAAGCTAGAAACACGGTCATAATGTTTTATGGGACATCATTCCTTAGGAAATACTGCCATTTTCTTTGTCAACAGAATACAAAAATCATCACTTTGAGACTCCTAAATGTCCTAAATATATTGTCATAAACCCCTCTAGTCTTCAGAGTCAGGAGGAATACGGGTTTGAATCCTTGCTCCAATGTTTACAGGCTGTAGGAATTTAGGTAAGTCATTTACCTTGTCTGAGTCTCAACTTCCTCATCTGTCAAATGAGAGTAATCACACTGTCTACTTCACGGTGCTGCCATAAAGCTTAAAGTACTATTTAAATCCTGATAAGATTATTGCAACTCTATGGTAATACCCTTTATTATTAGCTAATGAGCTGACTAATACATTTGGTTGTATAAAGATCACTGGATTTTAACCAAATTTAACCCATCCTTTCTATCAAGCCAAGGCTCTTCTTTTCTGTCTTCAAATTTTTAATCCTTTAACAAAATCAGAAGGGGGTACAGCTTATGGCACCATCCCCTGTCCTAACCCAGCTTCCTTCCATGTAACTATCAGGTTTATCTACTCTGTATTATCGGATGACATGTGAAACACATTCATGTACTACTCCAAAGCTGCATTAGGAAGAGGGAGCATCGGTGCTCAGAGGTCAAACGCAACCTTTGCATTTCATCATTTGGCTGTCAGGGTCAGACAAATATGTAAAACATGCAGCTAATCAAACAAGAGGCAAGTTTACATGTTACCCCCTCTGACATTCCCCTCCCTTCCTTGAGACTGTTGAGCTCTCTTCCTGAACTGATGTAGAAAAGCCTTTCCTACAAGCTCTGCCTTGCAAACCTTTGAAAATAATAATAACAACAATAGCATGTATATAGTGCTTATTATGTGCCAGGCACTGTGCTAAGTGCTTTACAATTTTTATCTTATTTGATCCACATAACAACCTTGAGAGGTAAGTACTACTATTATCTCCACTTTATAGATGAGGGAACTGAGGCAGACGGAGGTTAAATGACTTGTCCAAGGTCACACAGCTAGTAAGTGATGAGGTCATATTTGAACTCAGGTTTTCCTGACTCCAGGCTCAGCACTCCATCCACTGCACCACTGTGCCTATTTTAATATATGAGTTTTCAGTTAGGACTCATGTGCTTTATTTCCCAGGGACATACTCATATTATATACTTGATATAAGACTTGAGGACTTCTGAAATGATTTGTTCATAATGATATTTCATAGCTCCAATAACTACTAAGCATAAACCTGAGATCTACAGGGCTAAGTTTTTTAAAAAAAGATGAAAAGGAAAAAGAAAAAAAAAGACACAGGTCCAAAGGTGTTTCTTTTATGCTACGATTTCAACAGCCTTCACAAAATACAACAGTAGACAGTGTTGCCTCATCCTGGGAGTAGGCTCTAGCCAATATTTCAGCCTGGTGTTTGCCAGCACAATGGAATAAAGCCATATTGTAATAATGGCCAGTGGCTTTAGGTGTAGTATCTCCTTTCTGCCTCATCTGAGAGGTATGTGCTGCTATTATCATCCCCATTTTACAGATGAGGCTCAAAAGGGTTAAATGACTTACCCAGGGCCACTCAGGTTGAAAGTACCTAAGGTAGGATTCAAAACCTAGGTTTTCCTGACTCCAGGCCCAGCATCCTAGCCAACTAACATGCTTTCTTTCATCACAGCAATAAGTTCCATGCCCTAACCCTTGAGATGTTTCCTGGGGAAAGAGAATGGTGTGTATGTAAAGGTGTACTGTCTAAGTGACTTACTTCCATGGGGACATTCTTGCACTGGCTCCATTAGAGCCACTTGTGGGGTTGGTCTGGGTTCCTGGAGCTCTTACCTGGGTACAGAGTGTCTGGGAGGCCCATGCTTTGTAAGTAGTTGTGGCAACGCTCTTTATGTTCCTCTAAAGAGCTTCGCTGTTTATAGCTTCGGCCACAATATCCACATTTGTGAGGTTTACCAACTGCAGAAAACACAATTGAGTTCGAGACCCCAATTAAATGTCTGCCTTGAGTGTAATGGAAATGCACACAATATAGTCATTAGGAAAAATTAAAAAAAAAGAAAAGAAAAGAAAAGAAAAGAAAAAGCAGAATTCAACTCTGAGAGCTTTAAAAGGCAATATCGATTTGGCCAAAATGCTCCTATTAAACAGGTTTAATACTTCAGTGGTTCCTACATGGTGGCCAAGAATTCCAGCTCCTAATCTTACTTTATATATATTTGTATAGCACACTAATTGTGAAATTAACTTTCTCTCCCCAAAGCGGCCTAATGGGCCATGTAACTTTTCAAGATGAAACTTTTATCCTTTGTCTAGGAATTCGGGAAGGTTGTGAGTCGGGGGTGGAAGAGGTTTCAATGATGTATCAATCGTAGTTATGTCTATGAAGCAAGGCTCAAGACTGAGTTTACATTCTGGATAAGGCCCAGCACAGTAACGTAGGCAGACCTACTGAAAACAAGAACAGAAGGATAGTATAATTATCCGTGAGGCAAAGCATTGCTAACTTGCCACCTCCAGATCACCTCAAAGAATGATTTTATTCAAATGAGTATTTTATGTTCCAAAAAAGTACTTTTCTACCTCTAACATGCTATAGAACTAATTGAACCTGAAGAATTTTGTGTGTGTGTGTGTTTTTTAAACACTTAGTTTCTAATAGACTAGCTGTTTCTGAATTTTAAGTGATACTAACAGAAAGCATGACAACCAGGTCTCGTTCTACAAAGTCTCAAGGAAATTGAATTTTATTGGTGAGATGGAACTTTGGGGCTTTCTTCTTAATTTCTGACCTTTCGATAAAGAGCGTGTGAATATTCAATGTAAAAAATGGAATTCTCCTTTATGGCCTCCTAATAGTACTTAATTGCACATTATAAGGAATCAAACCATCAAAAGTATGAGTGTTTAGTGATACAATTTAAGATAATGCCAAAAGATAAGGGCTGAGCTTACTCCCTGGGTTAAAAAAAAAATCTTATATCTAAATATGCAATAGAGGCCAAAATCTGACACCATGAGCATTTAATTATGGAACAAAGGAAGCTAAGTTGGTATTTTGGATCATAGACCTAGAAGAAAAAAGGAAACTTTAAGGTCATCGAATCTAGCTCCCTCATTTAATCTGAGGCCCAGAGAGTTTGAGTGACTTGCTTTATGTCATACAGGAGTAAATGGCAAAGCCAGGATTTCAACTCAGGCACCAATACTCCAAGTTCAATGTCCTTTCCAATAAAATCTGAGAATATAAACTCCTTGAAGGCAAGCATCATTTGTTTTTGTTTGTTTTTTATCTGAAGTCCCCAGCACAGTGCTTGACACATAGGAGATGTTTAATAAATGCTTACTGAATTCAATCTGAAGAAAGTAACATCTAGCACTCTATTTAATAATAGCCCTTGTCAAAATGCTGAATAAAACTTCAGATCTCCCTGTGTGCTGCTGTTGTAGTTTAAAAGGGTGCAAACAGCAAGGGCTATTTACTTTCCCATGATAACACTTTGTCTTCTGGTATGTCATTCCAGAAGATAAGCTGTTTATGAATAGTGCTCTTCCCAGCTCTCCTCCGTGAAATATACCCTATATTACAATTTCTGTGTAAATAATTTAGTTTAGCTAAGGCATAATTCAGGAGACTGTGGGCAAGGAACAAACTCACAGACAGAAAAGGAACCTTTGCCTCAGCAATTTGGATGGGTATCCTCTCACTAGGAACAGAAGAAAGATGGATGGATTGTCTTTATCTTGTGGTCTTGTATAACTCCTTGTGGAATGTGATCTTTTAAAAAAAATTATTTTTAGTGATCTTTAGGGATATTCCTTAAATGGAAGGTCCATGGAGGATCTGCTGATACCAATGACGGGGTATATAGAACTGCAGGTCTTTGATTTAGCAAGATCCTTAAACCAAGTCATCAGTTAACTGATATTAAGTAGAACTATAAGTCTAAAGCTGGAAGGATCCTGAGAAGCCATTTTGTCCTACCTCCTTGTATTTTAGATGATAAGGCCCAAGCAGGTAAGGTAACTTGCCCAAGGTCTAATAGGGAGCAAGGAAAAAGCCAGGATTTGAACTTGGTTTCTGTGACTCCAACTTCAACACTCTTTACTCTGTGCTACACTACTTCAGTGCTTCAAACAGTTCCTGGCACATAGTAGGCACCTAATAAATAAATGCTCATTGGTTACCTTCCCATTTAACAGCTAGCTAAAGCATTTTTAAAAATTAAAGTATTTGTGTATGGCCATGGAATCTAGGGGACAGGACAGAATTTATTCACTGTGAAAACCAACAATCTACTGTAAATCTTATGTTTAGAGGAGTCATGAGAATTACATATTAAGGGATGCTGTGTTAATAATAACTCCTATCTGTGTGGCATTTTAAGACTTTGGAAGTGTTCAAAACAACCGTGCCTCTGAGGCATTATTATCTCCATTTTACAGATGAAGAAACTGAGTATTAGAGAGGTTGAGTGGCTTGCTCAGTGTCAAAGTGGTCTTCAAACCTGGGTATCCTGACCCCAGATCCAGCACTCTTTTCCCTATGCTGTCCCACTGTAGTCATTTTAAGCTTATGTAAAGACTAGAAAAAAATATTCTCTACTTACATTACCACCATTTTCATTGAGTGAAGACCCAAGGATTCACCTGATCTTTAATAAAACTTCAACACTGAAAGCTGGGAAGCAGCAGAAATCATTTTGTGTCCCTGGGAGCCAGGTACCAATAATGTGTTAGGACATTAGATTAGCTGTCAGAGCTGGATACATTCTGGTGTGCTCACTCTGGTTTTTCGTCTAGCTTAGAGTCGCTATACTATACAAGCTAAGGTGTGCCATGGCAGCACACACAGATCCACTGCCTGTCATGTCTGATTACTTAAGTAATTAGTCAGGATTGGGGCAAGATACTGTTGTGCCTCAAGTAAAATGAGCAGCCACGAGGCTGGAATAATATCTGGGGGCAGTTCCCACACCTAATTGTCCTCCTGTATCAGATTCTGTGTTATAAGCAGAGATAAAAGAAATCAACATGACTTTACATTGGAATGAAAGAGTTCCCAGTCCTGGATCTGTCTTATTAGTTGAAATTAAACACTTTCAGCTGCCAGTGATGAGCCAGTGACAAGAGATTCCTACAAATGCCTCATCCTGCTCATAAACATAGCTAAACCTCTTAGTATAATCACTCATATTTTCTGCTAGAATGGAAAGTTATGTCTTTAACCAGTGTGGGTATTGTCATGCCAGTGAATGACGATCCTAGACATAACTGTCCTCTATCTGACTGTTTGATAAATGAGAGATGCATCCTACCACTTTCCTCATCTGTAAAACAGGGGGGTTAGACTAATAATAATTCACATTCCTCTACTGTTTTAAGGCTTACAGGGCCCTTTTTTTTTTTACAAGCCTTTCTTATCTCCATTTTCAAATGTGGGAACTGAGGCTCAGATTTGTTCATGGTGACACAGCTAGAAAGGGTCCTAGCACAATGAATCACATATACATGGTGTTTAATAAATGTTTATTGAATTGAGCATGATTTAAATCCAGGTCTTTTGACCCGGATTCTTTTCATTGTACACTCTCAGGAGACTAGATGACCTTTTCTTTGCTTATATTATATTCTAGTAGGCACATCTCGGATTCATCAGATTATTGAGATCTGAGCAGGGTGGTAGGTCTACATATCCTATTTTTAACAATCATTCAACTCACAACCATCCTTGGTAACCCTTTCAAATACTTAAAAATCTTTATTGCCAAATTGCAGCCTTGACTTTTTGAGAGTCAGTACTACAATGCTCCCTAGTATGTAGACGAGTAGATTAATAAAATAAACCTTATCCACTCATTATAACTAGTTAACTTCCTCAGTCAAGAGGGTAAATGATTATCTTAAAGCCTATTCTAATGTGTACAGACAACATGGTCTCACAGATCCAGTGGTACACTATTCATTTTTCTATACAACTATCTAAGAAATGTGTAAAATATATAATTGATTTCTCTCTCTCCATCTTGTTGTTGATGTTCATTTATAATATTATTTCATTGACTTAAGATGTTTAGAAAGGGGAGCTTTAAATCTGATGCTAAGGGAAAGTTAATATCATTATTCATACCAAATGATGCAAAAGGATTCGACTTTCTTGTTGCAGATTCCTTCCTCTTGGAGATCCCTGCTCCCTGGTCCTCAAGCTCTACTTCACCAAATGGGAGGGAATATGAAGAATTGATTCCACTTCCATTCAGTTACTCGTTTACATACTAAGTATACCAATAACAGTACAATGGATTTAGCAAATGTCTTTCTTACAAGAATCTTAAAAGCCTTCACTTAGATGTTCTATTTAAGGAGATTTCATGTAGGCATCAGACAATACCCAGCCTCACAACACTGCTGATAAGTAGGTGGATGACTGCAATAGTGATGCCTCTTTAACTAGTAGAGAACCAGTCATGGATATTAAATGCGTGTGACATAGCATTGTTGAATGGAGATAGAACTTTCATTCATAGTATTATAACCCCACTTCTCTTTTTCTTTTTTTCCATTCCTTTTAATGCAGGTCTATCTTTGTTGGCTGCATATCCTGCTCTCTCTCTCTCAGGAAAACCCCTATCACAACCACTGCTTAAAACTCAAAACCTTTATGAGATTTATTTGGGAAATGACTATAACAACTTCTCAGATCTGTAGTCCAATAAAGGAAACTTTAAAAGCTCATGAAGTAGTTCACCAGTGGTTCCAAGCTGTTGAATTCTCTCTTAGGTCACCCATTTCATTAGTTTCATGTTTGCTCATCTCTACTAGGAAAAACAGAGAAGTGATTCCACATGACCCTAGTACAAAAGAAGCTGACTATCTATTATTATACATTCTTCTAGACTCTAACACCTTGAAGGCAGGGCCTATGTCTAATTCATCTTTGTGTACCTCAGAGGTACTATCTTGTATGTTCCAGGTATTCAACAAAGATTTATGGAATGAATGGATAAAATGAATGACCTAGTGCATCTATGAGTTCCTTGAGGGCAGTGACTGTGTTTTCTATTCCTTTCTATCTCTTCCTTCCCCCACTAGCTTCCAAGGCACTGTTTATTGTATTGTGGATACTCAATGAATGTTACTAACTGAATGTGATTTGAAAAAAAAAACTACTCTGAAAACCATATTATGTAACATCAAATCAAAGCTAGAGATTTCAATGAAATACTTTATCCTCTACTTAACTGCAGGAAGATCTGAGTTATTAGTAGCCAGTTTTTCAGATAGCAAAAGACCTGATGTGGTTTCTATACAGGTAGGAAAAAAGCAGGATTTGTCTAGAACTCCAGAAAGAATTATCAAGAGAATGTTAAGAAATTCTAGCTTCTGGAATCTACTGTAGTCTTACATAGGGGGAAAAAGGTAAAGGGAACCTCTTCTCAATATGTGGCTCTGATCTGAATTTTCTAATTCCAGAATTAATTGGCTTCAAGTGTTAGAATCATTAAGACCACAGTCCAAGGGAGTCTGGTTTCAACCACTTAACAAATGGTGGCAGAATCTAAACTGACTTGATCAACCAGCTCTGGAAAGCAAAATATCACATTGCTGACACTGGAAAATACACCCTTGGTAAAGACAGTAGTAGGCCAGGCATTAAAAAAGATTGAAAAAGTTATCTGAAATTACTATTTGATATCACTGGCATCAATAGTACTTCTAGGTAAAAATCAAATCAAAATATTACTTGACTTTGAACTCTTTGATCAAATTGACTGAGAAAAAGAAGGATGGAGTTACTTTGGAAATGGGTCACCTAAGGTAGGACTCCCAATAAACCTGCCCCTTCTTTACCTTCCACCATATATTACCAACAGGGATAAGAAAGTCGAAGTAGAGAAAGTTTGCCACTCTTCTGGCAAAAGAACTTGGATGGATTTGGAAGCTTTGGATTGAAGATGGAATTAAGGCCAGTGCCTAAGGACTCCCTTCCTTCCTGTGAAATACATCAAACACACGTGGTGGCAGCCAAGATGTTCACGTTCATCTCGGAAACAAGAGGGGGGAGGCTGAGCTTCTTGGGGCCCATGGGTATTGCTACCTAAGGGACCTACCCGAATGAGTCCTCAGGTGACCTGTGAGGGCATCCCTCCTGCGGCATGCATAGTTACACAGATGACACTTGAAGGGCTTTTCACCAGAATGCAACTTGATATGACGGAGGAGGTTGCCTTTCTGAGTAAAAGAGGCACCACACTGATTGCACTGGAAAGGGCGTTCTCCTGCAAGAGGGAGAGGAAGAAATATGTGAGAACAAAAATCTAACACGGGAACAAGAGAAAGATTTCAGTGAAAAAGTTGTTTTCCCACTGGTGCTCCATGACTTCTACCGGCTGCAGGTTTGATAGAACATGAGGCTTTCAGACTAAACCTGCCAGTTTCTAAACGCTTCACTGGTTGGGTCAATTTGATCTGAAAATCTAATTTTTTTTTCCTAAATCAGAATGGCACATCACAATGCAAATTCAAACTCATTTAAATAAAGTGACTGCAACATTTTGTGTTGAAGAGCCACTCTTCCTGATCAGCAGTTTTGGAATAAACCAATATCCAATTTTGCGTGTTGTGGCATTTGGTGGGGTTTTTAATGTGGCTTTTTTCAAAGGGTCTTTAAAATATGCCACTGAAGCAGCAAAATAAAAAGGAAACTCATTAAAAATGCATTTCAGGATCACAAGTTCATTTCAGCGTTACATTCTTATATTTAAATGAAAGGCACTTCATTATAACAGTTATAATAACTTCTTTCATTTACATTTTCCCTGTATTTTCCCTTTCAATTTCTTCTCCATTACCTGTCTGTCCCTAAGCAGCCAAATCAGGAAAAAGAGAGAAGGGAGAAGAGAGAGAGAGAGGGACGAGAAGAGAAGAGAGAGAGATAGAGAGAGAGAAGAGAGAGAGAGAAAGAGAGAGGGAGAGAGAAGAAAGAGAAAGAAAGAGGAGAGAGGAGAGAGAAAAGAGAGGAGAGAGAGGAGAAGAGAGAGAGAGAGAGAGAGAGGAGAGAGAGAGAGAAACAGAGAGAGAGAGAGAGAGAGAGAGAGAAACAGAGAGAGAGAGAGAGAGAGAGAGAGAGAGGAGAGAGAGAGAGAGAGATTGAATAAAGTAAGAAGTTAAGATACTATGAAGGAAACTGTCTTCAAATTAAAGTCCTGTCTCTCCATGTGGCAGGATTATAAAATCTGAGTTGTATTAATGTTGTTTGTTCTTTCTTCCTTCCCTCAAATCCTCTTTCCTCCATATCCTAAAATCTTAAAATTCTTATTTCTCTAAATTTATTGGAAGTGTAAATTTGAGAAGAAAGCTTAATAGCTTAAATTATATTATTTATTATTATTATTGGGGTTTTTATTTTGGGGGGATGTGGGAGTAATATTTATAATCTCTTTTGAAACCAAAGTATGTGACTCAAAAAATGTGTAGATCTTTCTAAGTGTGATAGCTTATGTTCTGGGCTTTAACAAAGGGGTAAACCAGTGAAAATTTACATAAGAAAAGAATGTTAAATGCTGCTATCATTCTAAGGAGTTCTGAGACTTAGGAGATCAACCAGCTGGACATTTAATTTAACCCTTCAAATCACATGAGTTATTTATTTCTATATTTCATGGGAAAAAAACATTTGAGTTTAAGTCTTTTTGAAGATGAACCCTTCAACTTGGGCAAGTGTTAGGTGACAGATTATCATGAACTTAAGATACCTTCAAAAACATTTAATTATACTTATTTTTCTTAAGAATTATTTCTTGAGCTAGGCTTCCATATAGCAGAATTTAACCTGCTTTAAGAACTGATTGACATGTTTTAGGTCAACTAAATGTTGGCAATCAATGGTAAATGGAAGTTTAGATTGAGCTAGAAAAGTCTATATTGGGTTGATTTTTAAAATCTGATGAGCATCTAAACTCCAAGATATAAAGCTACAATGTCACAGCTGAAATGGACCACAGAGGTGGGGATGAATCTCTACAGAAGGAACAACTTTTTAAAAGTCTAAAGTCAAAAAAAAGCCAGAGTTCCCTTCACAGTATCTTAACCTCTCCTTTCAATCTATTGTTCTCTGCTTCTGTCTGCTTACCCCCACACCCTTCTCTCTCAACTTAGTATTTTAACTTCTCATTTTATTCTAGCTGTTTTTCTCTTTTTTTCTTTCTCTGTGTTGCTGGTTGGCCCCTCCCTCCCAATCCCCCTCCAGGTCTGGCGGCTATTACAATGACTGGGAAAAAAATAATAATATCCAATTGTAGGGTGGTTGGTAGGTTTCAATATCTGTATTAATGCCACAAAGCTGAATTGTGTTTTCTTCCCAGATTTTAATTTCTGGATTGCACTTTCCCAAGAATGCAGAAAAGATTTAGAGTCAAATAATGTGATATCGCTAGTCAGTCTAAATCTCTGTGTCTGATGATAAGAAACTTGGGGGGCAGATCTGAAAGCAGAATTTAAAAACAGCTGAAAACAAGATCTCATTGACGAACTCCCAAAACGAAGGATCAGTTAATTCTCAATATGCAGCTTTTTCTGTCAGTCAGCATTTTATTTCTTAGTTTCTTATTTTAATTTGGAAAAGTGGACATAAAAGAAAAGGATGTTCAGAGTGTGTAGGGAGACCCATAATGTGTAAGAATAAAATGTGTTTCTAGCCTCCAGTTCTCATTTTGACAAGGTGAAACCTCAGGCTATGTGGGAAAGAAAGGCAGCTGGAGAATCTAAAATTCTGTAGACATTCATAGCAAGTATGTGGGGGCACAAGCCTTCCCACACAGATGGCACCTATGGTGTGATCTAAGCCCAGAGCACCTATACCTAGGTTGCAAAAAAGGAAAAAAAAAAGCAGCTAGCCTCTGTTCGGAAAAGTGGCTGCTGTTTCCTTCCTAAATTTGAAATGGATACAAGAAAACATGAATGTGTATGCCTCAGCAGGAAGAATTTTCTTTAAAGCATGAGTAGTGAAGTCAGTCTGAGAAGAGGAAAGGTGGGTTGCTGACAGTCAAGTCAACTTTTTTTAGAACAAGACACAGAAGAAAGGGAGGCATCGTTTCTTAGAAAGTAAAATCTGTCTTTTAATTTGAGTAACTACTTCTCAGATTTCCTGCTCTGTGTCTTAGATATTTATATATTCCTCCTGGCCAAGTTTACTGGAACTCCAATTTTTTTTTTTTGTCTGAATGCCTAAGCACGCATAAATATGTACCTTAGTTAGGGTGTGGTGCCTTTTTGTAGGTCATACTCCAGGCAGTTAGAACAGAGTGTCAAGCCTCAAGCTAGTCTTCTGGTTGGTCTCCCTGCCCTAAATCTCTCCCCTCTGCAGTCCACCCTCCACTAATCTGTCAAAGTGGTCTTCCTTAAACCCAAGTCGGTACAAGTCACTCCTCTACTGAACATTTTTCAGTGGTTCCCCATTAACTTCAGGATCAAATATAAACTCTTATCTTTGACTTTTAAAGCTCTTCATAGCCTGAACCCTTCCTACTTTTCCTGTCTTTTTATGCCTTACTTCCCCCTGCCAAGAAAACATTCCCTCTCCTGACTCTGAATTTTGACTGGCTGTCTCCCACACTTGGAATTCTCTTCTTCCTCATCGATGCCTCCTAGGCTTCCTTTAAGTTTTAGCTAAAGTCCTACCTTCTTCAAGAATTCTTTCCCAATCCTCCTTAATTTTAGGTCCTTTCCTCAGATGATTATCTCCAATTTATCCTGTATATAGCTTGCTTGTACATAGTTGCTTACACGCTGTCTACCCTATTAGATTATGATTTCCTTGAGGGTGGGGACTGTTGTTGACTTTTCTTATGTGTGCTTATGTCTTTCACATAGTAAGTATTTAACAAAACCTTTCTGAATTAACTTGATTCCCTAGAGATGTTCTTGGGGGAAACCTATTCCAGGGGGGTACATGAGTGAATGTTACCGTAGTATGTGCTAGTAAAAGGTTTTCTATTTATTTAGTTGAGTTCATAATGCCATATTTAGACTTGCGGTTAATGGGAATCCAATTTCTTATATTGTTCCTGAATTTAATAGGGTTGACTGTGTGGTAATGTCGCACAGAAGAAAGAGGTCTGATCTTGGAGTCAGGAACACCTCAGTTTTAGTCTTGATTAATGGGTAGTGGAAAGTATATTGAATTTGGAGTCAGAGGACATGGGTTTGAATTCCTACTTTTGACACTTAACCCTATGGCCTGAGGCAAATCCTTTAACCTATCTGAGCCTTGGTTTCCTCATGAGGTGGGCAGAGCTAGGTAAACTTCTGAAGTCCCTTCCATCTCTAAACCTATAACCAGTTGACACTCTATACATCCTAGCTGTTTGGCAAATCACCTAATCAAATGAGATAACATATATAAAACTACTCTGTAAATCTTAAAGTGCTATATCAATGCTAACTACTGTTACTATTATACAATACTAGCTATTATTACTATTAACCAGCCTTTCAGTCCCCCAGGCAAGTGTCCAGTACTATGGTGGAAAGAACACCTAATTTGTAGTCACAGGATCTATATTCAGGTCCTAATTCTGCCAGTTATCATCTATGTGACCTGAGAAAAATCATTTCCTCTCTCTGAGCCTTGTTTTCTAAACCATAAAATTAGGAGGTTGGTCTCTATGGCCCAAGATCCTAACAGCTTTAATCATGATCCTATGATGAGATAGTCAAATTGCCAATCTGCACTGGCGGAGACTCCATAATGAGAATTCTTGACACCAATAAAGCACAAGTCTTCACACACATGCACACACACACACACACACACACACGCACACACACACACACACACAAATATGCATACACATACACATATATCCTGCAAATTCAGGGCATATAAGGTGTGTAAAGGCAGATAAAACATCTATAAGTTGCAGTGACTAAGGGCTCTTACTTCTTGACCATCTTTTAAGAAATGTCGGGTAATCGTTACATTTTGAATTCATGGGAAAAACAATACTTTGTATCAGGCAGTTAGGTGGCGGGATGGATAGAGTGCCAGTCCTGAAGTCAGGAAGATCTGAGTTCAAGTTAGGACTCAGATACTTACTAGCTGTGTGACCCCAGCTGGGTCCCTTAACTCTGTTTGCCTCAATCTCCTCTCTGTAAAATGAAATGGAGAAGGAAATGGAAAACCACCTTGGTATCTTTGTCAAGAAAACCCTAAATGGGGTCTTGAAGAGTCAGACATGACTGAAAACAATTAAGCAACAAAAATCTACAACTTGAAAAG